AGAGATTTATACATAGACATATTGAAGAGTGCAATAGTATGTTGCCATATTCAAATAAAGGTTTAAAAATAAAACTGCTAATTGCCACATTCAAATAAAGATTTTAAAATGCAGGCTAAGTGTCACTAATTAAACAAGTATATATGTTCAGCTAATTGTCAGCCTCTTTACATGTATGACTCTCAAAGCGCGCCTTTCTTTCAGTTAATAAAAGAAAAATGCTGCAATTTTCTGGTGTTATTTCATGATTGTTGGGGCAATATCCAGCTGTATCTTAAACTTCTCGAAATACCGAAGTCCGCTTCAGATTGGTTTTAATCACTGCACAAAAATTAACACAATCTTTATCTAATTCTGATTGGGTGGGCAAGACAGTCATTTTGGGTAGGCTCAGCCCACCCCTGCCCATGCCTGGAGCCACCGGAACTAGCATGAACTTTTAGGGGAATTTCATTGGTCAATAAGACTTCAAACTGACACCTACTGGTGTGGATGCAATCTAACACAAAAACAAACAATTGGTTAACAATGCAATATGCAGTTATTGAAACACCACATTTGCAATTGTGTTAGAGCAGATAATTAGTTAAAGTGAGTAGAATTTGAATGGTCATGTGCTCCCAACATGGCAGTCACCATGAAGAGGGACCACACTAACGTAGAATAAAGTAGCTTTTGTAATCAACGCATATGACTCGAATTACACTTTATCAAAAGTACTATTCGTTTCATTTTGGAAAAAATTGTTAAAGTGGTTTAGAGCACCGCTAGGCCATTTACACCTTTTAGCTGTTCTTCAGCACATGACTTTCTCATGGATAACAGTATTCAGGCCTATGCAAATGAGAAAAGGCCAATGCAAGAACATGAACGCAAACGCTTCTTGCTGTGTATGTTTGATTTCACACATCGTTTAAAAAAAGTGCCAGAGCACAAATTTTGAAGTGTTAGCAAATTAGCATTAGCGTAAACTACTTCTATGGCAATTTTTCACTTTCAGATCATGGAGATGACTAGTAAAAGTTAGTGTAGTTAGTTTACCCAAAAATGAAAACACAGTTATTCACTTTCATGATGTCCGAAGTCTGTATGTTTCATCTGCAGTACGCAAAACAAAAGAAGGTATTTTAAAGAATGTTGGTAACAAAACTCTTCTGGTTACAATTGTCTTCCATTTTATGGACATTTCTCAAAATATCTTTATATTCCACAGAAAAAAAAGAAAGTCACACAGGTTTGGAATGGCATGAGAAAAATTCCTTTTTAGGTTAAATATTCCTTTAAAGTTGGCATGTTTACTTCTAGCCACCTCAATAACGATACGTTTGCCTCCTTTAGTACTAAGGTTTAGCACAACAAGTATGTACAAACAGAAGACATTATCTGTTACAGCATGAAAGTAAATTAGTAAACAATAAGTTTTCCCTTCTTTCACACTATCATTTTTTTTTTCTCAGGTTCTTCTGACTAATCATGGCTGACTGGAGTCTACTTGGGAACTTTCTAGAAGAAGTCCAGGAACATTCCACCTCGGTGGGAAAGGTGTGGCTCACCATTCTTTTCATCTTCCGGATCCTGGTCCTGGGCACGGCCGCCGAGTCCTCGTGGGGCGACGAGCAGGAAGACTTCACCTGCGACACTGAGCAGCCCGGTTGTGAGAACGTTTGTTACGATCGAGCCTTTCCCATCGCGCATATCCGCTTCTGGGTGCTCCAGATTGTATTTGTGTCCACACCTTCTCTCATCTACATGGGACACGCAATGCACAGTGTCCGCAGAGAGGAGAAGAGGAGGAAAAAGCAGGAAGAAGAAGGAGCGCAAAGAGACAGCGATGGAGAGAAGTACCCAGAGGAAGACAAGAACTGTGGGAAGGAGGACGAAGGTGGAGGTGGGAAGGTGCAATTGAAGGGGGCTTTGCTACGAACATACGTACTAAGCATCCTCATCCGCTCTGTAATGGAAGTGATCTTCATCATAGTCCAGTACATGATCTATGGAGTCTTCCTTAATGTGCTCTACGTATGTAAGGCCTCACCGTGTCCGCATCCGGTCAACTGCTACATCTCGAGACCTACGGAGAAGAACGTATTTATTGTGTTTATGCTGGCGGTAGCGGCTGTATCGCTGTTGCTAAGTGTCGCAGAACTGTATCATTTGGCGTGGAAGCAGTTTAAGGGTTGTTTGCAAGGATATAAGGCTTCCAAACAGCGACCGAATACACCATCCACCGTGGCTGCAGTCTCACCAAACAGAGCTTGCACTCCACCTCCCGACTTCAACCAGTGCCTGACATCTCCACCATCTTCCCCTACCATACAGACACACGCAGACCCGCTTTTACACCCAACCTGCCCGCCTTTTCACGACCGGCTGGCGCACCAGCAAAACTCGGTGAACATGGTCACTGAACGCCATCGAGGTCAAGACTACCTAGGGGTCAACTTCTTCAGCTTCTCACATACACTTACAGAGACGCCCAACTCATGCGCCTCGCCTTCGTTTCTAAACAGTGATTTTGTTGAGGACAAGCGAAGGTTTAGCAAGAGCAGCGGGACCAGCAGCCGCATGAGACCGGACGACCTTGCAGTATAGCACTGACCACTCGCATATGGAAAAGGGTCATCTAGTGTGACTAGTCATAAATCTGCGACATGATTTTGCACTTGACCTAACATATAGACAAATGCGATGTGAAATATTATTGCAAAAAATGAAAACATTACTGTAAATCCAGGGACTGTCATAACAGGCCAGCTCTGAAGAAACAGTTGCATCTAATTTGATAAAAAACCAAATCATCCCGACAGTGCAAGAGTGATTTAAACTGTGAAAATCTGGGGTGAAGAGCTCTTGTACGGAGCCCAATTATGTATACTTTGCCTGAAAATATGAAAGAAAAAAGGAATGTAAAACAATGTTTTTTTAACCTTTGCAGTCATATTTCCAATTCTATTTGTAAAAACAGATGTGCTTGTTCTTAATTAATTTTATGTATCAGATTTTTTAAAATGTTATTAATGCATACTGCACTAAAGATAAAATAAAACACTAAAAATGTCAGCATACATCTATACACACACACACTCACAAAACCCCCTACCACTTTAATGTCAAATCTAACCAATCATGTCACCGCTACCGCTATATGGTGCAAATACCATGCTAGCCAGTAGATTTAAACATGCACTCAACAGAATGCTCTGTGTAAGCTAATAGGTCATGTGTTGTTATCCTGACACTGAAGTGCTTTACATTTTGTGCTGGTGGATAAATAGGGACCAAATAAGTGAACTAGTCTCCTTGCAGCAGCTGCTAAATCTCAGCTAACCTCAGCTAAAATTAGCCCTGCAATGGAAAGCACTCTCCACCATCAGTTCAAGAGCAACATGTGCTGGATCATTATTGCACCACAGCAAACATACATTTTGAAAGAATTTGCTAAAAGACACTGAGGTTGGAATAGGACTGGTCCACTTCCAGGAGAATCAAGACATGGTCAGCCAAGCATGAATTCACCACATAAACAAGTGAACAACTAGCATCAAAGACTGTAAGTGTAAGTGAAATATACATAACTTAAAGTTACTCATACCTGAAGTGAGATAATACACACTGAGATATGCCATTTTTAATGTACTTTGCCTGTACCTGTAATTCTGCCATATGCGTAAGCAGGCTATATAGAATCTGTAAACGTAAATTTTAACATTTTACTTTTGTGACCCTGGACCACAAAACCAGTCATAAGGGTCAAATGTTCGAAATTGAGATTTATACATCATCTGAAAGCTGAATACATAAGCTGTATGATCAATAATTTTCACCCATACGATGTATTTTTGACTATTGCTACAAATATACCCCAGCGACTTAAGACAGGGTCCAGGGTCACATTTAATAATATGTTTTACAAATTTGATTGTGTTTTAAATTACCAATAAAAGTGTAGTTCGAAGCTTTTCCATAAAAATCAGAAATTGCAAAATGGAGACTCTCCATAAATCCAAAGTACTCACATATTTGTGATTTACCTGATGGTTTTATGCAAAGCAACTTGCAATACAGGTCAAATGCATTGCTCAAAAATGCCCAGGAGTGATCACCTTGTGGAATTTACATTATAACATTCTAGTACCAAATTATATCTTAAAAAATTTGATACATCACCCCTAAACCCCATTTAATATGTTACACCACCAACTCGATCATATAAATAATAACACTCCAAATAATCATGTCTTGTTGGCTTTGTGCAACTGGTAGCCAAATATTTTTTTAAAAGGAAAACATGACCTGCCAGTAGGGGGCAGAGGAAGACCATTAGTAGCCATGAGATACACACAAAGGCATTGACACGCTTTATACCAAACAATATATTTTATTTGTCTTCCAACACCACAGCCCAGCCTTAGGAAGTGGTTCAGTACCAAATTCAATGGAGTTACACATGACGAGCATCAACACAGGAGGGGCAGGGACAAGAGGACAACCTATTAGCTTTTTTTCTGTTTTTGTTTTAATAATCATTTGTTTTCTACAAAAAAGAAAAGAAAAAGCCCACCCTCCAGTAGCTCAGATGTTGTCAGCGCTGCACTGTATAGCTGTACACAGCCAAGTAATAATTAAAAAAAAACATCTTTTCAATGTATTCCGCAGTGGTGGCAAACAGCGACAGCCTGACTGCAGTCCTTGTCGGACAGACACGGATATGCAGACAGCCTGAGCGTCACTGCAGAACTGAGTGCTGCTGGTTTATGGGGTTCAAAAATGCCCCTCCACAGTCACCCTCACCTGTACCCAGACCAGCTTACAGAGGTTTCTAAAACAGGAACGGGAGACCACACTGCATACATCTGATTACTGCTCCTACTGACTGTCAGTGTTTTTCTCTACAATAAAAAAAAAGGAGAAAAGAAAACACTTTATTCTTTACAGTTAATTCTTGTTTGTGCTTTTTTAATAATACTATGATCTGTATGAGGTCTTAGTTTGGTTTTATCATACACTGGAGTAGCAAAGAAAATTAAATTTAAAATATTCTGTACGCCCCACAGTACACAGTATTTTGTGGTGCTGTTGTGTCACCTACTGTCCACAAACAACCACCTCAATCCCCCCTTTACAAATGAAGATGAAAAAAAAAAAACTATAGAAATCACTGGTAGAATCCCTTTAACAACACAAGTACAGTACACACATACAAAGAGCATTTCCTGTTTGGAGGGAAGTGATGCGATAAGATGTAAACATATAGCCAAGACGGTGCACCTTGTGACAAAATGTTCCTTGACTTTTCCATTTTCATGTCTATTCTTTCAGTTCTTGGACTTTTTTTCCAACAATCTTTCCTGGTTTCCAACTATGTATAAAAGTACAATGAAGCCCCTAAACGTTCATACTTGGTTTGCTGTAGACTTTATATGTGGCATCTTGTCCACAATGTCAAACAAATATCCTCGACACGAGTCGGTCTTGTAAATTCCATATACATTCCCAAGTTATCGAAAAAAAGTCCCTTCCAAACGGTGCCGGACCTGAGCCCAACTTTGAGGAAAGCACAATTAGCTTCTCACACTTCCACCTGTTAAATGACATAACCATTGTAGAAGATTCCCTGTGAACACATCCATGTGTATGTGATGGATACCCATCACTTTGTAAGCTAGAAACCTTGTTCTAACCAGGTGTCAGGGTGTGTATGTGCACAGAAAATGTCCCGGTTTCCACACGTATCTGCTTGACAACACAGAGTTTCTTTTTGTCTTTCATTACGAAGGTTTTTATTTCACAGGTTACAGTTTCCTGACTGTTCATAACTGTAGTGGAGTCTCAAAACATGATATTCCCAGGGTTTCCTGGGCCAGGGTTAAATCCCATGCTGATGTCTGTTGCCATTCCTCGAGGCCTCATCTGAGAGGGCATCATCATAGTCTGTTGAGGACCGCTCATCCCTTGTAGTGACATCATCATGTTAGGAGAGCCCACAGGGCCAGGGTGGTTGTACATCGGCCGTTCCTTTCCTTGCATCATTCCAGGGCCTCCCATCATTCCTGGCTGCTGGCCAGGAGACAACATTCTGTGCTGTGGCCCCATCATACCCTGACCCATGAAACCTGGGGGTCTCATGGGATTATGGCCTGGATTACCCATGGGCATGTCCTGTGGTCCCATATGTCCAGGGCCAGGAGGACCACCCATTCCCTGCATGGGGAGGCCCATCCTTGGATTGCCCTCACCCATCATCCCCTGCATTTGGGGAAAGCCAGGTGGGCCAGACAGGTGTGGTGGCTTCCCACCAGGGGCGTCTCCACCACGAGGGAAGTAGGACAGAGTCTGGCTAGGCTTCTCAGAGGGGATAATTCGAGAGAGGTCAAACTCTGGGATACCTGACGCACCTGGTCGCATTACCTCATGTAGATCCGAGTCATTGAAGACACCCGGCATGTTATTAAACTCCTGGCCTCCTGGAGTGTTAGGTTTACACATACCTGGTTCACCACCAGGTCCATGAGGCATATTGCCCATCCTGCCCAGCGGGCCCCCTTCTCCCTGGAAACCCATCCCATGAGGGAAGCCACCCTGGTGCCCGGGACCATTGTGAGGAAAGGGGACCTGCTGTGGAGGTGACTGTCCTGGAGGGAAGCCCTGTCCTCGGTGAGGAAGACACATACGCCCCTGTGGCATCATCTGGTTGTTGCCCATGCCAGGGTCTTGGGAGACTGGGTTCATCATCATACCATGAGGCATCATGCCTGGACCCATAGGCCCGGAGTGAGGAGGCATATTGGGGCCCATGGGATTGGGCGAGGGCATCTGGTTTGGCATGCCATGCGAAAGTGGCTGGGAGCCCATAGTGTTCATCCCCATTGGGCTGAGGGAAGGCATGGGGCCAGAAGAGTTGGATGTCATCATTCGAGGATGACCTGGGTGATGGTTCACACCCATACCTACAAAGAGAACCAAAAGATTTTGATTTAGTGGAAAAGACCTCCAGAAAATGCCACCATAACCAAAACCTACTGCATTTTCGTTAACTCTTATAGACATTACCGGGCATGCTGTTGTTCATAGATAACAGGTTTGGCGATCGAGCAGGCGGCGAGTCATCATCAGAGCTAGCCACAGTTTTGATTGCATCATGGTAGAGGGGCGTAGAACTGGGCATTGCGAACTTGGACATGCGGGACATCATGATGGAAAGAGGATTTTGGGATAACGTTGGCTCTGGGGGCATTGTGTAGGGGCTGCTGGATGGAAGACTTCCTGGCACATTCATGCCACCTGGCTGACTGGAGGAACTACCGGAGGGAGGAGCTGAAGGAGGAGGATTACCACCTGAGAACAGAAGAGGACAGAGGAGGTCAAGAGAAGAGGGGAGATGTAGGATGATGGAAGAAAAGCTTTTACCAATGACCTTTTATTTGACACCTCTTAGGTCAATAGCTGCTACAAAAACATTACTAAAAAGGTCCTGCTGTAACAGTATAATTAGCAGGAATAATTGAATAAATGAAAACAAAGTGCCACTGAATATATTCTTGGACCATGTCCTCAAAATCATTGTGAGCTAAGCTTATCATAGAGACCATTGGTGGAAATGGAGCCCTGGTTATTTTGATGGTGGAGTACAATTAACTTTTCAACTATCTGTCAACTAACTGTCATTAGAGTATTAGC